AGGAGCGCGGGGCACAAGCCGAGAGGTATGCGCTGCCAGCTCGGCCTGCCTGGGCTCCGCGACGGAGCAAGAGAGCCGCCAGCCCGCGCGCCAGCGCGCTCGTGTGCTTCCCTTCGCGTCTCTCGCTCGTGTGCAGGGGCCGCGCGCGGCTGCGACTCTTCAGCGCACGCCCGGGGCGGTGCAGGTTGAGGCTACGATGCTGGCCACGCCAAGTGTCAAACAAGTAAGTGGAGGTCACAACCCTCCCAGACTAGTAACCTCAGACGCCCCCTTGTCAAGACGGCTCGAGCAGAACCCAGACAAAATCATGCCTCTCCTCACTCTGGAGTATGAGCCTCAAGCCAGGAGTGGGGGGTGTGACAAACTACCACGCACCTCACATATGAACGCGATAATTCGTCCTGTTCCTCCCCGTTGTCGCTCTTCGAGATGCCCCAACATTGTCTGTCCGTCCCTTTGACGCAGCCTCGTACGAGCCCCATGGGGCGTGGAATGATTTGATTCCCCATGCAGCTTCCACACGGGAAAAGCACTCCCTTTCAAATGTTCGTCCGTCTTGGATGGGCCCGTCGATACTGCCGCGCGTGGTCGATGTGCTGGGTTTGTCCATGCGCCGCTTGGCTTCAAGGCCAGTCCATGGACGTCACGACGCAACTTCTGGGAGGTGCTCGTAAGAATGAGTAAGGGCTGTAAGCCCATTCAAGTGCCATTGAGCCAGATTACTATGGATCAACCGGGGGACTAGACTAAGCCCAATTGATCGGGACTAAGCTGGACTGGATGGAATTATGCCACATGTGGCTGGCCCTCAACCACGGATACACAAGTGCCGATGATGCATGTGACCTCCCAAGAGTTGCATCCGAAAAGGCCAGTGCTTGCGGCGGGATCACACGTCTGCTCGGAGAAACCAAAAAAGTACCGATACGGCTACTCCCCCGCGGTCTGACCAGAATTTCGGGGCGAGTCCAGCGGAGGCGACGAGGGCCTCCCAGGAGTCCCAAAACAGGGGGAAACGACTCAAGGGTAGCGGTAGGGGCACCTCTTCCCCCACCGACTTCTCGCCACCTGCTGCCCAACTTGCAGGTACACCCTGCGAAATGCTTAAGAAATCATGGGTTAAGAAACTCATAGTCTCAGAACTTGAATAAAAACCCAAAAAATCCATTCAAATCGTGGGATTTACATTGAAACGTTAAGAATAATCGAGACTCTGGCCGAAAACTTGGGTTTTCTTAAGCATCGCCTAAGGTGTATGGCTCTGTTTCGAGCTTCCTTGGGTGCTGCTTCGCCGGCGGGCTCTCTCAAGCGTGTCTGTTTCGAGCTCCCTTGGGTGCTGCTTCGGCCGCGGGCTCTCTTAAGCGCGTCTGTTTCGAGCATCCTTGGGTGCTGCTTCGACCGCGGGCTCTCTCAAGCGCGTTGGTTGCGAAGCTTGCGCCCGCTTTGGCAGCCGCCCTGGCGCTGCGCCCTCGGGGCAGCGAAGGCCCCCGGCGACGGCCACGCCGCTCGGCCCTGGCAGCACGGACGCGCGCGGCTGAGTCGCAGACGACGACCCCTTGATGCAAGCCAACGCCTCCTCCTCCTCCTCCTCCTCCCTCCTCCTCCTCCTCCTCCTCCTCCCCTCCCTCCTCCTCCTCCTCCCTCCTCCTCTCCTCCCCCTCCTCCTCCTCCTCCTCCTCCTCCTCCTCCTCCTCCTCCTCCTCCTCCTCCTCCTCCTGTCTCCGCCGCCGAGCGCGCAAGCGCTCCCGTCCTGCCAGCGCCCGGCCGAACTCCAGGAGCGTGAAGAAGCAGGTGGCCCAGAAGCGGGCCTGGCGCCCAACGGGCGGTCCGATCGAGGGGAGAGGGAGGAGCTTGAGGTGATGTGGCTCAGGGGCCCCTTCATCCCGCTGGTGGGATCGGAGGCCTGGTGTAACGACCATGATGTGCCACTCCAGGGCAGGGCAACGATGGAACAGAACGGTGGAGTTGCTGGAGGGCTTCCCCCAGCGACCCCACTGGCTGTGTCCCAAGAAAGAGGAGGAGAAGGAGAAGGAGGAGGAGGAGGAAGAGGAGGAGGGCGGAGGAGGAGGAGGAGGAGCAGGAGGAGGAGGAGGAGGAGAAGGAGGAGGAGGAGGAGGAGGAGTTCTCCAGGAAAGCCCGAAAAAGGGCGCGCACTGCATATCTGTTGCATGCCCGAGCAAGCGCACCCGTGTGGACCAGGCCGTGTGTGGCATGGTCAAGCTGGGCCACTGCTCCCAATCTTGCGCCAAAACCATCCAGCTTCCCGTGCTCTGTGACACCGCGAAGCGGCGCAAAGAGTTGTCCCGTTCATCCACGGTTTCTTGGAGGGCCTCATGAGCTGAGCAGCTCCGGTTCTGGAAGATTGGGAGGAGCAGCAGCAAGAGTTGGACAATGAGACAACGGAAAGGAACAGGGGCTCTACCACGAAGGACGTAAGGTCCATGACCTCCTGGACCTCCATAAACAAAACGGAGGCAGGCGGAGCTGCCCGCGCCAGTCCCCAGAGCCCAGCAGAGCACTCGGCAACGTCTGATCACCTCGATCCTCGATTCTAGATTCCTCGATTTCTCGATGATCGACGACGACGACGACGATGATGACGACGACGACAGTGGCGGCGGCGGCGGCAGCGGTGATGGCGGAGGTGGCGGCGGCAAGCAGCGGCGGCGGAGGCAGAGGCAGACGCGACGACGAAGACGGACGATGCAGTACGTTTGCAGCCCGTTGTGAGTTTCAGTTCCTGGCCCACCTGTGCCGACAAACCCTGCGCCGCGGCAGTGTGCCTGCCTTGGCCGCTGCCGCCCTGCAGCGCCCGCGGGGAGGGGGGCAGGAGGCGGGAGAGAAAAGAGGAGGGGGAGAGGGGAGAGAAGGGAGGAGAGGGGGCGGCTGAAAAAGAGGATGAGCAGGAGGGAGGAATGATGAGGATGAGGAAGGAGGAAGGAGGACGAGGAGGAGGAGCAGCAACAGGAGCAGGAATACGAGAAACGAGAAGAGCAGAAAGACCAAGGGAAGACGGAGGAGGGGAAAGGAGCGGGGCGACAATGACGAGGAAGGACTCGATCCAGAATTGTGACCCGCACTGGGGCGAGAGCGCCACTCTGAATGACGGGAGCAAAGCGTCTACCCGAACATGCGGCCAACACTCCAGCGGGAGCACCATAGTGGATACCGAGGACGTTCCGATTGAAACAAAAAGCGCATGAAATACCTCCTTTGGAAATCCTGTACGTTGAAAACAACATGCGGGAGAAAACGGGCCACACTCGGGCTGGATGTGGGGAGAGAGGAGAGTGGCATCCGGACGGGGAAATTGAAAAGAAGAGTGGGGAAAGGGGAGAACAGGACGGGAGGAGGGCGGGAGGGCGGGAGGAGGAGGAGCACGAGGAGGAAGGAGGACACGTTTGATGCTCTTGGCCACTATGGGGGCCTCCAGAGGCCGCTGGAGGCCTCTGGGAGCCTCGGAGAAAGCCCCCAAGAGACCTGCAAGGACCCGAAGGGGGCCCGTGGAGACATCCGCGGGGGCCTCCGGCGACATCCGGAGGCCTCCGAAGGAGCAGAGGAAGACGAAGTTCAGCAGCATCCTGCGCCAGTCCTCCTCCTCCTCCTCCTCCTCCTCCTCCTCCTCCTCCTCCTCCTCCTCCTCCTCCTCCTCCTCCTCCTCCTCCTCCTCCTCCTCCTCCTCCTCCTCCTCCTCCTCCTCCTCCTCCTCCTCCTCCTCCTCCCTGCCTTCTGAGGATGTTCGCCATTTGCCTGGTGCCAGGGGCTTCTCTGCTCGCGGCCCTCGATTGGAATTGAGCAAGTGCGAGAAGGTGTAAAACGGGGTGCGCTGCTCCGGCCGATCCCCACCAAGGAGCTGCTGCGCGCGGCGTCGAAGCGTGCGCGACATGCACACTGCACAAGTAATGCCTTACAGATAGTTGTTTTGCCGCACTTGTCCTCTATGCGTTTTGTGTGCGCATGGTCGTTCATGTTAGCGTGCGTGTGCACATTAGATAAATGGATGATGCATGTACACGGTTATGCCGTTTGCGAACGGCACGTGTCACGCTAGCATTGCGAGTATGCGTGTCAGTGATGTGTGTTGCTGACCGAGGTGGTATCCATGCTGATGTAAATGGTGTGTCCCCGATTTCTCTTACGAACGCGTAGTAATCATGTGTGCTGTTGGTGATGGTTCTCACCTGGAAGTTTAATTATGATCCTGGTATATGCTATTGACACAGTTTCCTGGTGCACAATGATGGAGTGCGGTATGATCTTCATTGAGGATGAATGATACGGATCTGTGTTGCTGCTGTGTGCGATCGGTGCAGCCCTGGTGTATGATAGAAGTTGTGAATGGTGCAACTGTTCTGCTACCAGCCATGTGGTGTTGATGACTGCTATTGACACCTGCTACTGGCATATGTTACTAATGCATGTTATTGGTAAGGACTCTTGGTATGCGTTCATGATCACCGTTCCTGGTGCACGGTCTTAATGTATGGAGCTCATGGATGTGGTGTTGTACACTCTTAGTGTGCTGGTGAAACTGGTGTTCGTGATAGTCGTCTGATACTGATGCATGTTATTGATCCAAGTTCATGACGTACGATATTGTCGCCCGCTCTGGCGCATATTAATGCTATGTATTGATTCTGCATGGCATTGGCGTGCGAGACTGATCGGTGATGCTGGCGCATGCCTTTGAAATATGTTATACATGTATGCTCTTGATGTTTGAGGCTGATGTATGGTATTGGTGATTGCTCTTGGCGCATGTCAGTGAGATGTAATTGGTATATGTCAGTGATGTGTTTTGCGTATGTGGGTTGTTGCTGTGTGGCATTGATGCCGGTCCCTGGTGTCTACAACTGATATATGTTCCAGGAGTGCGATGTTGATGCCATTGGTTTCAATGATTGAGGTCTACTCTAGATGTCTGCAACCAGCGTGACGGCGTGACGTCTTCACGGATTCACGCCGTGACGCATCCCTTTTGCGGTTCGCGTGGCGGTCTCTTGAAATCAAACCTCTTTTTGTTGTTTTTTGTAAGCAGCTGTTGCAAGGATGATTCAGTGTCGCAGTCGTGGGGCTTCTTTTTCTAAGGAGAATGAGCTCACGACGCCGTTGCCGCGAGGCTCCACGCTACCGCTGTATGGAGTGTGGCCGAAGAGTCGTTCAACAATAGTATTCAATCGCGTGCGATGCTCATGAGCTCATTGCAAATGTCCAAACCACTTCCGACTAGCCATGTGGCCAATACGCCCAAAGGCGGACAAGCATACGTATAAGTCATCAGTGCGAATACGAAACTGCCCATCAGAAAAAAGAGAAAAGGGAGAGATGAGAAAAGGGACAAGCAGGTCTCCCTGGGAGTCCAGGCCCTTTCCTCTAGGCTAAGTACTCGTCATTTCCGCCGGGCTCCGGCCACGCTTCTGCGGGCCCTGACTAAACCCCCACCGGCCTGCGAGCCGCAGCCCCTGACCCAGTCCGGAAGAAAACAAGCCCTTGATGGCTGCGCCCGGCCGCCGTCGCGGGCGGGCGCGAGCAAAGCGGCGGCGCTGCAGCGCAGAGAGGAGACAAAAGGAGAGGGGAGGGAGGAAGAGGACGAATACGAAGGGGGAGAAACGACCGCTGCGCACCGCGTGCGGCGTCAGCGCACGGGGCGAGGACGCGGCCGCGGGGCGCGAGCCACCGGACCCCGCCGTTGGGCGCGCGCGCCCGCGCCATGCAAGGAGGGAGGCCAGGAGGAAGAGGAGGAGGAGGGAGGGGGAGGGGGAAGAGGGAAAGAAGGGAGGGAGGAGAGGAGGAGGAGGGAGGGGGAGGAGGAGGAGGAGGAGGGAGAGGGAGGAGGAGGGGGAGGGAGAGGGAAGAGGAGGAGGGAGGGGGAGGAGGGAAAGCACGGCGAGCAGGCGCCAGCATGCAGGAGGAGAGGGAGGCAAAGGCAGCAGCAGGCAAGGTGTGGCCTCAGTCGCGGTGCGTTGCACCGATCTGCCCTCACAGGCACGAGCGGTTCTTCAAAGTTCCCCCCACAGTCTACCCCGCAGGATGTGAACTGCGACTCGTTGGTCATACGGGTGGCAGAAGAAATATGAGAGACTTATTCGAGGGAGTCTGTGAAGCAGGACTCCCATACATACTATGGACAGCTAAAGCTATTGACGCAAAAAGTAAAATTAAAAATTGCATCAAAAATATGCTGACCTCGGGCGACGCATCAACTCAAGCGTCTGCTCCTCACTCGTCAGACGCTCTGTGGCAGCCCTCAAGCACATCGCGCGTTACATCAAAATCGGGGCGGTCGCACGGATCAGCAGACCACACGTCGACTATGATGGAGGCAAATTCTGGCGGCGTGTCGCCTGGCATCCTGGCCTGGCTCGGCCGGATTCCCGAGACTATGGCCAACACCAGGCGCTGAGGATACCCGCTCTGCGGGAAGCCTGCATACAGGCGCTCCTCGGTGAGGAGCTCGTTCGCGAGCACCGCGAAGGAGAAGACGTCCGCCTTGAAGTCGTAGCGCCCCGCAGCGTCCTCGCTGGAGCAGAGCTCGGGGGCTCTGTATACTGGAGACCCTACATCCAGCGTCAAATGACCGCATTCGCCACCGGCGGCATCCAACAACCTTGCATGGCCAGTCACCAACCTTCGCGTGGGGTTGACGTGCTGCGCATTCCAGCTCTCAGAGGAGCATGACGTTGCTGGGCTTCAGGTCTCTGTGCACGACGCTGTGCGAGTGCAGGTGGACCATATATATATATATATATATATATGGCTGGTGGCTGTCATCATCCGAACTCTGGAGTGAAGACAAGAAAAAGGCCGCCCGCTAGCGCAGGGAGCCGTTGAAGAAGCCGATGATGCTGGTCCCCACCGTGCCGCTAAAGACCTGCACTATCGGCGCGTCGGTTGTCAGCCTGGGCTGGCGCTGTAGGTGAAACTGCTGCTCGCACATCAAGGACAGCCACTTGTAGGCCACAGTGGGACAGACTGCGTTAGGACCATGCCTCTGGCAATGTCGAGCCCGACCTTGACGCACTGAGTCATTGTGGGCACGTGCGGCCTCTGCAACTTGTGTATGACCTCGTGCACCGACCCCCCGGGGCAGTACTCCATGCATACCACTGGGCTGGTCCCGTCGGCGAGCGTCTTGAACAGGTGCACAAGGTGCCCGCACTTGGGTATCATCATGGCCTGGATCTCCCGCTCGGTTCACTTCTGCGTCGCCAGGGCGCCCCTGAACCTCTCGCGGATCACCATGACGGCCACCCGCTCGCCCAGCTCGAGGACGAGGCCGCCTGGCCGCACCACACCCTCCCGAAGGAACCCGCGCCGACGAGTGCCACCTCCTTGAGCGCGAGGCCCTGGTCCGCACACATCCTCGAGACGCTGGCGGCCTGGCCGTCATCTTCCTCGTGCTGCGACGTGTGCACGCCTCTTGCAGCGAAGCCGGTCCCTCCCCAGCAGGTATTTCTCGCTCGGGCTGGGGTCCGTGGCATCGCTCTCGGGGCGCTGCAGATCCTCATCCGTGGTCTGCGTGCTCTCGTTCTCGAACATCGACAGCGGCGCCATCGCCAAGCCCGTCAGGTCCATGACGCTCGCCGCAGCCGACCAGGCGCCGGGCTGCTGGACCTCGGGGGGATCCCGGGGGGTCCACGGGCCACTGCGCGAGCACAGATCTCCAGATCGAGCGCACGGACCCCCGTCCGCGCCCGCGTGGAGGGAGGCTGCAGCCTTGAGCCAAAATGGCTGCGGACCTTTTGAGGACCAGGACTCCTGGGTTCTGGCGGCCGCCACATGCTGGGTGGGCAAGGCGGAAAGCACAGTCGGGGCGTTGACCTAAGGAACCCTAAATAAGGAACGAGGCCCCTTTTTCCCATCAGTTAAAGTTCGATTTCCCATCGAAAACCTAAGGAAAATCTAAGGCAAGCTGCGAAACAATCAAGGAACACGGAGCCCCCCCCCAACGAAAAGGGTTCCTTCTTCAGGGCCCCGACTGTGTCGCCGCGAGGCCTCTCTGGTGCGGCTCGGCGAGGCGGGGTCCCCCCGAGGACCGCGTGGACCGCCGGGAGTCTCGGAGCCCGGCGGCCGCAGTGGTGCTGGGCGGGCGAGCTGGGTCGGGAACTCTGTTCTCTTACACGCCGGTCGGAAGAAGTAGGTAAAAACATGAAGTAGGAAGGCGGATTAAGTTGATTGGGTCCAGGCCCCCCCCCCAGAGAATAACAAAACACAGCAAAAGCGTGTCGATTCTTGAAGTAGGAAGGCGCTTGAAGTAGATTGGGATCTGGGAATCCAAAAATACCTACTTTCAACGACCGGCGTGTAAACCTGGAAGCTCGAACCAGTCGGGTGGGGGAAAAAAAACCTCTTAGGGGGCGCACAGGAGCATGGGACTGCTTGCGATGACTGTGGGTAGGCGATGCGTTCGCACGCGCTGGCATGCATGAAGCAACTGGAAGCACGCGCTGTGGCTGCAGCGCAAGACAAGGAGATCTCACGCGTCGGGCATAATGGAACGTCCTGTTAGCTCGGGCCTTATTGTTGCTGCTGTTGCTTACTATTTTTTGCGGCTTTTCCCTGCTGAGTGCGGGTGCTTGCTCCTGTTTCCTGCAATTCGGGAATTTCTTTTCGCCTACTGCGCATTCCTTGGGCAACGCCGTGCGCTCTGCGAGGAACGCGTAAGCCGGCAAAAAGGGTTCGCTTGCGACCCTCTGGGCCGCTCTGCTGCGCCTGCGCCTCTGGCAGTGTTCAAACTTTCTTGGACTGCCTGGGACTTTGCCAGATGACGTTGGGCTCTCCTGGAAGCCTCTAATTCGTGTCTGGGCCCAGGTATCCAGACGCCGGTCATACGATATACATGACATGACTCGCTTACACAGAGCTAGCCGAGTGCGTCAGGCTGATCTCTGCAGGTAATCACTCGGGTGACGTGCAACAGATATGAAGTTGTTCGCTGCAGTTCGTTATGAGCCAGACGACGCCCCTGGACTGACCGAGCAACGACCACGCTGGCCCAGCTGTCCGCTGGTTGGGCATCACCGAGGTTGTAATTCCATCCTGCTGGGCTGCCATGTGATCTAGTCGATCTGGGCAGAGGGTAGAAAGGATGAGGGAGAAAAAAAATACTGCTTTCCGATTATGTTTTGCCTGCGGGGGGCCTCGGGGAGAGCCCTCGTCGCTCACCTCGAAGTCCTGATCAGAGCGCGCTCCAGGACCCTGGGGGTCCCTGATCGGCGCACCCTTTGCTTCCCTTCTGACCTGCCGCGCGACGGTTCCCCCCCCAGCGTGCCGTCTCAACAATTGCGCGCTTGCGCTGTGTGACAAGGCCCCGCGTTCCATGACAAGCGGTGGGGAGGGAGGGAGGGAGGGTGGGAGGGAGGGGGAGGGAGGGAGGGAGGGGAAGGGAGGGAGGGAGGGAGGGAGGGGAAGGGAGGGCCCAAATCGAACACCCGCCGCGCGCCGAAGGTGCTCCAGCACGCGGCGTGGTGCGTCGACGAGGCGGCGCTGACCCCCCTCGGGGGGACCCCCCCACGCTTCCCACCGGACTAGACGCGGCGTGCTCCCTCACTTGTTCAGTCGCAGCGCCGCCGGACGCTTCGCGCGGTCGAGGTGGCAAGCCGGACCACGGGAGGCAAAGAGGGGGGGGGGGGGCAGGGGGACAGAGACGGGCTCTGGACAGCCAATTGAGCCCTGCAAGAGGCTGGAGAAGAGGGGCAGGGCGGCCGCGGAGTGGATCAGCGGGCGGGGGGGGCAAGCTCAGACCGTTGAGGCCTGCGTCAGCAGGCTGCGGGCCAGGCTCGGCCGACTTCCCCAAGGAGGGATGCCAGACCGTCCCGGAAAAGGCACAGCGAGTCGGAATGCAGGTCGAGGACGAGCAAGCCCGCGAAGCGCCCGCAGGCGCATTGGCACTGCAGAGGATCGCATACTCTCTCATACGTCCTCTCGCAGTGTCCCCTGAATGCTGGTCTTTTCTGGCGGCGGGTCTGTCCAACTGCCGCTGCACAGCCTCCCCGCGGGCGAGCGGGGCAGGCCAAAACAATGGTCGGCGCCAACGCGCGGCCGAAGATGTGTGAGGCGCCCCTGACAGAACTGGAAATCGGTGGCGCACGGGGCAAGGGGGCGGCCTGTCCGAAAAGGCGGGGGTCCTCTCAGAAAGGATCGGGGCCCTCCAGGAAGGCTGCTCGAAAGGCGGGAGGGTTTCTCAAGGCATCCGTGCCCACTCGGAAGGCCAACCCCAGTTCGCACGCCGCCGACTACTGCATGCACACCCGTCCGCGCGCACGCGCGTCTTGCGAGACCCTCGTCGTCTGCTGGCTGTTGTCGTATCCGCTCTCCGCCGTGCAACCTCGTCGTCGTAGCTTCCACCCTCATCCTCTCCTCCCCCTCCCCCTCCCCAGTCCCCAAGCTGGTCCTCCTCCTCTTCCCCCTATTCCTCCAGCCCCAACTCCAACTGAAACTCCAACTCCTCCTTTTCTGATGTTTCTTCCTCCTCCTCCTCCTCCTCCTCTCCTCCTCCTCTCCCCTCCTCCTCCTCCTCCTCCTCCTCCTCCTCCTCCTCCTCCTCCTCCCTCCTCCTCCTCCTCCTCCTCCTCCTCCTCCTCCTCCTCCTCCTCCTCTCCTCCTCCCTCCTCCCTCCTCCTCCTCCTCCTCCTCCTCCCTCCTCCTCCTCCTCCTCCCCCTCCCCCTCCCCCCCCCCTCCACCGCCTCCTCCTCCTCCTCCCCCCCCCCCCTCCTTTTCCTCTTCCCCTCCTCCTCATCCTCCTCCTCATCCTCCTTCTCCTCCTCCTCCTCCTTCTCCTCCTCCGCCTCCTCCTCCTCCTCCTCCTCCTTCTCCTCCTCCTCCCCCCTCATCCTCCTCATCATCAGCATCATCTTCATCATCCCCACCATCATCATCATGACCACCATCATCATCACCACCATGACCACCATCATCACCACCATAATCACCGTCGCGAACGTCAACACCACCATCATCATCTGCATCTTCATTCGGATGTTCTTTTGTTCATAAGCGGCACAGTGTTACAAGGAACTCTGTAGAAGGGCGCCGCGATCAGAGGGACATCTAAGAAGCAAAGTAGAACCGAGCACTCCCCAAAGACGAAAGGAAAAGAGTAGTTGTTGGAGTCGAGGGTGGGAGCAATTCGGAACATAAGCTTACGGATCGTATGCAGACGGGGGGGAACTAAATCCTGGGAGCGACACGTCTGAATCCAGAAAACCGTTTTCGTGCGACGCACAGCCATCATGTTACTTCACTCTACAGCGGCATTGTGTATAAAGGAACTCTGCAGCAGGGCGCAACGAACAATTGCTAATCGAGCACTGCCGAACCATCCCAGAACACGGGCGTTGTCCAGGATCCCCGCGAGGCCCTGGCTGAGCCCAAAAGAGTGTTGGCCAGCGCACGGCACAGCCGCCAGGGACAGGCTTGTGCAACCTTGGTCCAGCTCAGCCCCCAGGACCAAACCACTCCGGGGCCTGCGATCGCCTGCAGGCTCTCGCAACACGAACCGTGGCAAATATCAGAGAGCTACCTGCAGCAATCTTGGCACACTTATCCTCTGAGAGTCCTGGAAAGCCTAGCGGGTGCTCAAGAGACCGCCACGATCTGCCGCGGGCCTTAGGAATGCTGAAAGTGGCCCATGGAGGGCCCATACAGACGACCATGCAGCGGCCCCCAACTACATCGCCAATCAGCTGAGACACGACTCGCCGATCCAAGGGATTTCCATTCGGCCCGGGAGCCACATCAAAACACCGAATTGGAAGCCCTGACAGCCCACAGGATCTGCCTTATTCGCCACTGCCACTGACAGGTCTGCCGCGCGTCTCCCAGCCCCGCTTCGCTCCTCCACGGACCACGGGCGGCAGCGCGCTCCGCCCGTGGATCACAACGGCCTCGAGCTGCCTCTCCCACGGGGCCGCGCGAGACGCCGGCGCCGCCCCGGGTCGGACGCCGCTATGTCCGAGCCGCGCTGCCTCGCGCTTGACCTCGCCCAGGCCCCTCTCGTCAGTGGCCCGGTCGATCGGGGCGCCCGGGCGACGCGCCGGGCAGGGCGCGAGTCCGCCGAGCCCCAGCGGCTCGGCCACCTCCTCGAAGCGCGCCACGCACTGCGGGCAGGTGAAGCTTCGCACCGGAGCACCTGCAGCCCCGCTCTAAAGCAGGAAGCGGCTGTCGATCAGCACGGACAAGTCGCAGCCATCCGCCTTGGACGGCTTGTCCTTCTCCTCGGGGCGACCAGCAGCGACCAGCACTGGCTCGCGCCTTGCCTCGGCCCCACGACGCGCTCGGGAGCGACGGCCAGCAGCTGCCCTGGACGGAGGTAGGTCGACACAGCACCGCGAACACAGCCGTCTGTCGACAGCCCTCCCTCACGAAGCCACTGGCCGTCGCGACCGCGAGGGGCGCGACTCCCGCCAGCCCCGAAGGCGCGCCAGGGCCGAGGCAGTCGGCCACCCCCAGCAACCCACACCGGGGCAAACGACGCATCATGGCGGCCACTACCTTCACCCCTTCGCCGTGCTGCCCCGTTTCCAAAGAACCGCGCCTCGAAATACTTCGCGAGCGCGCCGTCGAGGCCAGGGCCGCCGACTGCCTCGACCCGCTCGATGGCCACCCCGCTCAGCTCCAGGAAACGCGCCAGCTCCTTCTGGCAGTCGGCCGCCGCCCGCCTCGAGATCGCCCCGACCTCGGTCTGGCCGAGGACGTCCGCCTCGTCGGCCTCGCCCAAGCCATAGCGCAAACGCCGGCGCGAGCGCCGCCCCTGCAACTGGGCGCGGCGCGCCCCTGCGTCGCTCTCCGACGACCCGCTCGAACTCGAGGCGGGCCGACGCCTCCGAGGCCGAGAGCCCCGACCAGCTAGATCTTCGCCGGAGGCCTCGACGTCGGGGCAGCCACTCGCCGCGGCCCGACCTCGCCTCAGCTCCTCCGGCCTCGCAGCCGGCGCTGCCCGGCGCCGCGTCGCCAGCTGGGTCGCCGCGGCCGTCGGGGCGCCGCCCGCCTGCAGCAAGCGCACTCGTCGAGGCGGCAAGCCCACTGCCAGCCCAGGCCGCGCGGGAGCGAGGCACCGCCTCCTCGCGCCCGCGCGGGGCCGCGGAGACTCGGCGGGGGCCGCGCGAAGCCGCGAGAGGTCTCTGGCCGAAGCGGCCACGAGGAGGAGCGGGGATGGAAGGATGACCCGACAGCTGTCTTCCAGGCATGGAGGGCTGAAAATCCACCCCCATAGATATCACCCCGACAAGCGACGCCGTTCAGCATGCGCACCCAAGGAAGAAATCCAGACGGGCCGTCTAATAAACGCCAATTGTCCGGCCCGGGTAGTTTCCCCCCCCTTCAAAGCAGGCCCCCCCCAGAATTTTCCGGGCGGCCCCAGGACCCAAGACGGCCACTCAAACAAGAAGGCATCCAGGCTCATCGCCCGACGCGCACCCCACCCGCCGATAAGTTCCACGTGCCCCAGGCCCGCCGAGCCCCCCCACGCCGCCAGCGGCGCCCGAATTCAAGCGGCGCGTGATATGACAAGACATGGACGAAAACGACCCATTTGGGCGGCTCTGCTCGTCCGAATTGCTCAGTCCACCGGGCGCCCAGCCCACGGTCGCCTTCGACATCGCGGGCAAGACAATACGCAGCGAACACGCGAATCTGGTTGAACAACGTGAACCCACGACTCCCGACACGGTTCAAGCCTAGACAAACGCTCACGTTGCCGACTGAATGGGCCCGTCTGACACCCGTTCCAAACACATTGAGCGCCACGCGCCGCAGCGCCACGACAAGAGCACAAGACTCGAGCGCGAAAACGGGCTGCCCCCAATGCCACTTGGCCTCGGACTTGAGCCCCGCTCGTCGCGGACCGAGGGCGCCCCAGAGAAGGCCGAGTCGCTCGAAGACCCCGCTCGACGCGGAGCCCCTGAAACCGTCGCCGTCGGCGCCCATCAGCCCCGGCCCCCCCCCAGGCGCGGCACCCTGGCGAGCTATCGCCGCAGCGCCACATCGACGCCATGACAACGCAGCCGTCGAGCGAGGCGTCGCAGGCAAACGCGAGCAAGTTCCACGGCAGTCAGTCGACCGCGAGCAACGATACCAGACCGAGGTGGGCCGTGAACTCCTCGAACACGCTCGACCAGAGGGGGCCCTGGTGGCCGCTCTTCAGCATGAACTTGCACGCGGCGCGGAAGCAGCTCAGAACCGGCCGCCGCACCACCCCACAGAACGCGCAGCGGCCACTGATCACCTCAATTATCCCCCTGTTCGCGCGGCCCCGCGTCAGCAGGTGTCCCCGCGCCCCGCGCAGGCGCAAAACTTCTGCCGCATCAGCACCATCCGCCGCCCCTGGCCGTCGAGCTCCACTTCGAGGACCTTGTCGCCATGAGACAGCACCTCCCCGCCGTCGACCATCAGCCCGAAGCTCTCCAAAATGTCGATGACTGGCCGCAGCACACTGGCCACGACGGCGGAGTCCTCGCCCAGCAACCCCAGGATGCCAACGCACACACATTGCCTGACACGCCAGCGGCCGCTGCGCAGGCAGAGGACCACCGGGTCTCCTCGGTCCCGAACGGGAAGGGGCCCCTGGAGCCCTGGCAGCCTCTGGCACACCACCTCGCTGACAGCCCGGCCGAAGCACCAGCCCCAGCTGCACCCGATCGAGAGTGCCCGCGCCAGCGGAACCAGCACCCCTGCCCGACGAAACCGAGCTCCTGGCGGAGACGGCCGGCAGCCCGACCCACCGCGGCATCCAGCGCAGCATGATCAGCGTGTGGAAGGCGTCCTTCACTTTCGCGATGCCAGCGCGGATCTCGAGCGCCCCGAAGTCGTGGCCGTCGGCGCCCCACTCCACGCACAGGTTGCCGGGGACCTCCGCGGCCAACAAAACAACTCCACGCGGGGCGTCCGCCGGAAGGACAAGTTCGAACGACGATCGAACTACCCTGATCTTCTCACGCCCCTTCTTTCAGATGAAGAGAACCTCCAAAAGTCTCGCGGGCCCAAGTCCCAAATCGCACGAGGCGCCGATCACTCAGAATCCTTACAGAAAAAAGCGTTCCCGGCTAGGGGCGAGGACTGGGTCGCTGCACGAAACGATCTTCGCATCGCGGATCAGCTGCTCGGCCTCACCTCTGTCGCGCTCCATGAGCCCGCCCTCTCCCCCAGCGCAGCGCGCGCAAGCCTCCCCGCCGAGGTCCGCGAGCCGCAACGAGACCGCCCACTGTCGGTACGCAGCAAGAGTCCGATTTGCAGGGCCGTGCTCGTGCACCTCCCGCCCCCTCCTCCACTTGCGGAAGCACTGCTGAGGGCTCTGCACGGGCTCGTCTTCCGGCGCCGGTTGCATCACTTAAATTCGGCGGTGGACAAACCTCCTTTTAGTAACCCACCCTTTAGTGAAAACGGCCTAGGACCGAAACCGACGGACCTGGACCCGCAAAAACAACGGCTGCGACGCCCTCTCGCAAACCGAAAACGGCCAATTCACGAATCGACGTGTCAGGGTAGGAGGTCCTATCCAGCTCCGACCAGTGACCCCTTCCACGCGGGCGGCCACATCCTGTTGAAGTGGCGAGAGGCTCGGCACCGAGCCCCCCCCGCCGCCAGCGAAAACCACACCACCCACGCCCACGAAGGCAGCGCACCGCGGACCAGCCGGAGACTGTCGCGCGCCGCGACGCGTCGCCCGGCAGCGGCAGCGGCCCCCCCGGGGGTAGCGCGGAGGAGCGCGCAGCGCGATCGCGGCATCGGGGGGCCATACTCACCTGATCGAAGGTACTTGCTACCATCATATGTGATGGCTACGACACCAGATCTCGAGCCAGCCACGAGGAGGCCCTCCGAACCTCTCCATGTGCTCCAACACGTGCATCACCGTCGGCGGGTCTTCCAGCGGAGAGTCGGCCAAACTCTCGGGCTGGCCCTCGCGCGCCACCGCTCGCCACTCTTTGTATCTCTCACCCTGGCTGTCGACGTCCACCCAGACAGCGCGCACATCTTCACCTGGAGACTCCTCTTTCGTGTCACCTGACGCCGCTTCGACCACCTCCCGCGGGGGCGTCATGGTTCCGAGGGCCCTCTGGCCAGCAGCGTCGGCCAGAGCTACCACACAGCCCGAGACGAAACCACCAATGTCGGCACGCTTCGCCCGCTGGGCCCTGGCAGCAGCACCAGGGTCCGAGAGGAGAGCAGCATGGCCAAGGTGCACCTGGACGTCGCCCGCATGAAGATCGACCTCGTCGCCAATCTCGAGCGCCCCGAGGGGTCCACGCAGCACCCAGACCTCGTCGGCCTCGAGCCCGTCGCGCACAGGCGGCGCCACGGCCAGCGGTGCCGGGGGCGGCAGGGCCGGCAGGCGCGCAGCGCCTGCCGGCAGAGTCGGCCGCCCGCCGCCCATGCCCGCGATGCACGGCGTCGGCTCCCCCGCAGCGCCAGAGCCTGGCTCCTGCGGCGCGGCGGCCTCGGCGTCCGGGATGAGCCCATTCCCGCTCCGCGTCCTGGACCCGTTGCCTGGATCGGCACACGCGCCGGACCCCGTGCGGCCGGTCCGTGCACGGGCCCAGCCTGCCAAGCTCGCGCCTCGGCCAGCCCGCCGCCCGCGCCACAGCAGCTCAGGTCCTGTCCAAGCGTCGCCGCCAGAGGAGAGCACCTACCAGCAGCCTCCGCCCACGGGCCAGACCCCGTGCGTGGCCGAGGCATCGCCGATGCGGCGATATCCTAGGAAGGGAGGCGGAGAAGAGGAGGGGGGAGGAGGAGGAGGGAGGATGAAGAGGAGCTGAAGGAAGGAGCGACAGAAGAGAAGACGACGACGACGACGACGACGACGACGACGACGACGACGACGACGACGACGACGACGACGACGACGACGACGACGACGACGGCAGTCAGGAGAGGACTCCTCGCTGGAGGGTGCGTGCCTGCAGTGGGCAGGCAGGAGCTGCCACGTCTGTCTCGGCAGCATCACCCCTGCCAGCCAACGCGCGGACAGGGCGACAACTCACGGGAAGAACAATCCGAATATATTACAGCAGGGGCCACAAAAAGTTTGCCATCTCGGGTGCCTGTGCGACGGGCGAGAAGATCGGCCGCTGAGCCAGGCCACGCCCACACGATCCACTCGGACATGCAGACGAGGAAAAAGCAGCACAAGCATAAACGTTCCCAGGTCCGCGCGAGTTTCTTGGATCGGCGCTGGACCCCCCCTCCCTGGCGCGCCAGGTCCCAGCGCAGATTCGAGAAAGCCGCGCGGACCTCCGAGAGGCGATCGACGTGTGACTCGTGCCCCTGCACGCCCCGACCCCAAGATTGGCCAGAGCGGCGGCATGGATGGCATGCTGGCCTCCTGGGCGCCACGTGCCCGTATCCGTGCCCTGGTCCCCCTGACGCCTGGTGGGGGGGGCCAGCAGCAGAGGTGAGTACCCAGAGAGCCGACGCCCTGACTTTTTCAGCGCGGGGCCCCCGAAGTCCCGACCCTCTCCCCGGGACCAGCTTGTCGTCCTGAGTACTCTTGTTGACGGCCCCAGGGCCCAGCGAGGGCCCCCAGAGGCCAGAGACCACGAGAAGTCTCCGTGCTGAATGCTTCAATCCCTCGGAGATCTGGGTCTGGACCGAGCGCCGATCATCGATCCGAAAGTTTATGTCTGTGCAGTTCTTCTTCGAGCGAGGGCAGGCAGTCCTCCGCCACCGCGCCCCGCAGAGGCGGCGGGCGTGGCCCCCTGGCCTGCAGCAGTGCCTCCAAGGCTTCGCCGACCCCCCCAGCCCCGACCAGGCCCCAGGTGCTATCCAGCGGCCTGGGGCGCACTGAAAAAAAACTTCGGAAGCTCCAAGAAGAGAAACGTGGGCTCTCCTCCAACGCCATACCGTCGGGAATTGGGGAGCGCGAACTCTACCGGCCATGAACTCTACAGCGGCTCCAGCCACGAACGATCTGGTGGCCCTCCTCCCTGCGAAGAGAGCGATGAATGACGAGGAACCTCTGTGGAGCGATGACTGCAGTAGGGAGCGATACTGCACGACATACCTACTGATGCATCCTGGGCATATGCACTCGAAACTCCGGGTTCACTTCGACAAAAGCCTGATCGGTCCGGCACCCTTCTAGCGTTCCCCTCCTCCAACTCCTGCGCCTCATGCTGATGCCGCTGCCATTGAAATCCCAGCAGCCATTCAGGGCGTAGGTGGATTAGAGCGCTTTCTCTTCCAACCCCCTTCTTCTCCTTCGGAGAGGGGGAAATCATTGCTCCCCATTAATGAGCACCCCGCCCCCCCCCCCCCTCCCGGCGTGCGGCCAGCGCCGACCTCTGCCACCCCCCCCCCACCACCCCTGCCAAAAACCATGCAGAACACTCTTTGCCTCCAAATCTGGAATCTGCGCGGGCGCCCCGCGACCGCTCCGCACGGCAGGCCCCTCCTCCTCCTCCTCCTCTCCTCCTCCTCCTCCTCCTCCTCCTCCTCCTCCTCCTCCTCCTCCTCCTCCTCCTCCTCCCCCTCCCCCTCCCCCTCCCCCTCCTCCTCCTCCCGAGAGACAACGTGCGCGGGCCCTCCACAGCTGGGAGCACGCGCGGGCGCCCCGCCACCACTCTGCACCGGCCTCCGACAGGGACGGCGGGGGGGTGCAGGCACGGCTGCGTGCTGCGCGCAGGCCAGCGGGGCCTGTCGACAAGCGGCGCAGGGTGCATCTTGCGACGACGTCTGTGGATCCTGCGCGGGCCCCCCGCTGTCACCGGTGCTGGCGATGTCCGCTTTGTGCTCTTCCCGGGGGCGCCCGTCTGTCTGAGCCGTCACGTGCCCCGCGGTGCCCCAACAGGAGACTTGTGTCGATCGATGCCGGTGCTTGGCGTTCCGTGGAGGAGCCGCCCGTCTTACAAAAATGCTCGGCACTTCGCTTCGGGGGGGATCCAAGATCATGAACTCCTTGGGGTCGGGGCCCCAGGAACCTGAGGTCTGCATCGGTTCCCGTAGCTGTCCATCCGATGACAGCAGTTCTATGTCCCTAGCACACTCTGCGCGAGCCGCGCGCATGGCGCGGCTGGAGTACGTGGCACACTTGGCGCACGTGGAGCACGTGGCGCACCTGGCGCGCCTTGGACCTCCGCGGTGCCTGGTGCAACGGAAACCCGTGAAGCACATGGTATGCGTGGCGCTCCTGGGCGGCATGCTGAGACTCGGATGATACTTATGTGTCAGGAGGGCGGGTGGGAGTGAACCAAACACTTTGCGCCTGGGAAATGTGTCTTGACCCCTCTCCCTGCCACTTCCCGCCGGGTCGGGACGGGAGGGGCCGCGAGGCGTTAGAGCGCTCCAGAAGGCCTCAACGAGAAGGCAAGAATCATTGATGTCCCATAGGTTTGGTACAAACATTGGCCTCCAGTGGGGGCGCCGCTGTTCGGGAACCCCCCATTATTTGATCGATAGCCTCCCAAATGACCCTACAATGGAGCACGGGGCCCTGATTGCATGAAGAATGTGTGTATGAGTATGAAGATGGTGGCTGAGTGTGTGTGTGTGGATCTGAGCGAGAGCAGTGCGTGAAAGAGTGAACCTGAAGTACGCGCGAGTCTGGATATCAGTGAATCTGAGAGTGGGCGTATCTGAATGTGGGTGGGTCTGAGCGTGATGCAGTCTGAATGTGGATGGCCGGCCTGAGGAGAGGCAGGACGGCCGAGAGGGGGAGGCGGAGCCATCACACTCACAGAGAGCCCTATACGTTGCATATGGGGAATAACAGAGCAAAGGAGAATGGGGGGAGGAAGAAAGACAAGAGCCACGTGCGGGAACGCGCCAAAGAGCGAGGACAAGGGAGACAAGAGGCGGGGTCTTAACAAAGGTCCACAATGTTCGTCGGATCCACGCTCTGCGTGCATTCCATGTGCATTCGACGGAGGCCGTGTCCCTCGAACTGGCTAAATATGCTGAGACACCATTGCAAATTCGAATATCGAGCAGCGTGTGCTCGATTCGTCGATGTTGTCTCGCATCTCAGTTTGAAATGCAAGACTTTGGCTTCGCCTGATACATCCTCACGACTCGCTCTGAAACTAACCACGACGCGCAGGTGTCGCCGCAGGAGAATTGCCCCGACCGAGGCGAGAGCGCCGTTTGGATGGGGGTTCGGCCATTGTATCTCGTTTCGCCCCGTTGTGCAAGACGGCCTGAAAAGCCTTCAAGAGCCCCAAGAGGCCCCCGAGAGCCCACTAGAGGCCTCCCAGAGGCACCCAAAATGCTCCAAGACGCTCCAAAAGGCCCCCTTAATAGCCGACAAGAGGCCCCCAAGACGCCCCAAGATGCTGCTAGGCCCTCAACAGACACCCCAAGAGACCCAAGAAAGCATCCGAGTGGCCTCTGGCCCACACAAGCCCCCGACATCTCCAAATGATGACACATTCCCCCGTTTAGAGCAGCTCCGCTGGGCATCTTGTCTGGATGGGCTGGTGTAGATGCTTTTTTGTTCCCGAGCGCAAGCGGTACGGCCACGCGCCGTCGCAAGGGTCAAACAGGCCTAAAGCAGCGGCAGAAAACAGAAGCTGCGGGCACACAGCACGCCTGGTGTAGATACGCGGAGCGTTCAGATATTGTTCCTCTGTTCCTCCTCCCTCCTCCTCCTCCCTCCTCCTCTCCTCCTCCTCCTCCTCCCTCCTCCTCCTCCTCCCTCCTCCCTCCTCCTCCTCCTCCTCCTCTCCTCTCCTCCTCCTCCTCCTCCTCCTTCCTCCTCTCCTCTTCCTCCTCCTCCTCCTCCGCCTCCTCCTCCTCCTCCTCCTCCTCCTCCTCCTCCTCCTCCTCCTCCTCCTCCTCCTCCTCCTCCTCCTCCTCCTCCTCCTCCTCCTCCTCCTCCTCCTCCTCCTCCTCCTCCTCCTCCTCCTCCTCTGCCTCCCTCGTCATCATCATCCTTATTAGCAGCAGCAGCATCGTCATTATCGTCATCATCGTCATCCCACGCCCCATTCCACCCTTCTCAGACAGTGCAAAAGGGGAGCCGCGTAAGACCCCAAAGACTTACCCAAACATCTCCCAGGGTCATCATTAGGCGTTCCGTGAGCCTTCGAAGCGGAGGCCCTCGGGGAGGCTCAGGGAGGCGGCGTGCGCGAAAGGGCCCACATGCGGAAGCACCCAAAAATCCAGGGGTGTCGGAGCGCTCTGGTGACACACGGCCAGACCTCGCTCGACATTCGCTTCTCGGCGCGTACAAGACTACGGGGGACCAGACATACACGCCACCAGTACCTCCCTCACCCACTACCCACAGCATGTCACCATAAGCAACCGCGAGTAAGAAACGTAGCCACTTTTCGACCCCAGTTGCGCTCAGTTCCACCAGGAGCGCCGAAACAAATCCCCGATGAGAGACCTACTCAAGGACCCCCGAGCAATTTCTGAAACCAAAGCGGTCCGCATCCCAGCGACTTGACTGCACGCCCTCCTCCCCCTCCCACCCAGCCTTCTCTTGCCCGGGATGGGTGAGTGGGAGGGCACTGGCGGCGCATGGCCAAGGCTGTGATCGACGAGAGAATCGCGAATCGGGGATCTTCTGACCCGGGTCAATCCAGACCCGGGTCAGTCAGGCTTTGTAGAATCCCGCAAGATCCTGCACCCAAACCCGGGTCAATGCGAAGGATCCTGCAGTATCCTGCAGGATCCTGCACCCAGACCCGGGTCAGTGCGACCCTGGCCCCGCAGGATCCTGCAGGATCCGGTGTCCTGGCTGACCCCCGTTTGCACTGACCCCCGTCTCGAGGCTCCCGAGCGAACCTCCTGACAACGTCTCCGGCAAACACCGGGCCTGCAGTGCACGTGCAGCCCCGTGCTCGGGCCAGGGAGCCAGGCTGGGCCGCCCTCCTGGGGGCGGCAAAACGAGGGGAGAACTCTTCTTAGGTCGGGCCTGTCCCCCTAAAGGGGGATTCTGGGCGACAAATAAAAAACACGCCAAAAAAACTCCCAAATGCCCAAAAATACTCCAAAAATAATCACCCAACTATTTTCTGACTATTTTTGAAGATTCCCCCTGTAAAGGGACAGGCCCGACTTCAGTGCAACTGTGCACTCAGTCGGCGCAACTGTGCACTCAGTCGTCAGAAGTACGAACTACTCTCCAGCATGCTGCATCCATGGCGAAAACCATTTGGAGCCTAGGTGAAGCCATGGCGGACCATACTCTGCGCCCACGACGTAAACGCCATTTGCGCACCAAGTCTCATCCTTTTCTGCACCCAAGACTGCCTCTGGACGGCTCTAAATCGGCCCAAGACGCATCCACCGAGACGGAGGGGGAGGGAGGACAGATGAGTGAGATAGGGAGCGCGGGCGAGAGGGAGCGAGGGGGAGATGGGCAAGCTGGGTGCACTCGCGCCATATGTCTGAGGTCCTACCCATTCCACCCATCCCTTTTCCATCGCGTTGAATCCGTCTCTCTTCGCAGTCGGCCGTCGTGAGAGAGCCTGGTCCGAAAGGACAGCCTGATCAAGGAGGACCCCGAACCCCCGGGGCACCAACTATACACCAACACCGATCCCGGCCCAGATCAACCTGGGCCCAGGATCGGTGTATACGCCCTCCTGCCATGGGCAGAATGCATATACACCGATCCTGAGCCTAGGATCGGCCTGGGCTGGATCGGTGTAGGTGTATAGTTGGTGCCCTCCGACACCCCGAGGCATCGGCTCTGGACACCGCGCGGATCGTTCACCCCAGAGCGGTCGCGGCTTCCCGAGTGGCGCCCACCGCTCGATGGCGGCCAGCTCCGGGCCACTGGCGACGCTCCGCCTCGAGCCCCCGCGCTCGGGTCGCGGCCGCGTCGACGCGCCAAGAGCCTACCGCACCAGCTCTTGTGCTGCTGGGGAGCTACTTTTTTTGGTCAGCGGCCGCGGGCGAGCGCGCCGGCGGCGAGTCAGGTCAAAGCGGGCTACGCAGCGACGAATCAAGCGAAGGCAGCGGGGGCAGGCCACGTCTAACGCAGCTAGCCGAGGCCTCACGCGGAGGCCCAGCGGCGGGCGGATGGCAGGGGCGACTGAGACTGAGTTGAACTGCCAG